GAATTGCAAGTTCAGCAAAGAAATGGGTGGGGGGGCTGCCGCGGGGAGACGCGGCTCGCTCGGGTCGCGCTGGCTGGGATGGACCCCCGCCCCCGAAATAGAAATCTCAACACTTCCCCCGCCTCGCAAAAAAATAGAAACGAAAATTCATCGAGCACCTCATTTCCCCTCAGATCGTCAGTTACAATCTGAAGCCTGAACAGTTCAGTTTTTGCCCGTTTCAACCATCGGAGGCACTTTGAAATTTATTCGAGTTTACATCCCCTCACTTCTTTCTTTCTCTGACTCTCGTTCCCTCTCACTCACACATCTACACACGGCAAAGCGAGTTAATACTAGGCTGCAAATACACGTGATGCAAAAAGACTTTGCCAAGAGGATCACTATTTTTCTTTTCCATGTATAAACCAAGCCACATTTTGCTGGGGAGATTTTCATTTCGGTAGTTTTGCGTTGGGGGAGAAACCTAAATTGCATACTTTCTTTCCCCTCCCTTTAAAGTCACAGAATAGTATAGCTGCAAACTTCGCCCCCCCCCAAAGAAAAGGGGGTAATTTTTGAGGGTGGATGTTGTTTTGTTTTCACACTTGAGTTCCTAGACACGCTAAGTCCCCGTTCACCAGCACTATAAGTTTTTAATTCAATATTTGCCATTACAGGCCCTGCATGCTCTTAAAACATACTTTTTAATATCACTTTTTAGAATAAAAATTAAGCTTCATAAGTCTATTATTTCATAACAAGCGTGCTTTATCCAGTATATGCAACATACGCGATTTTTACGTGTTAAAATACACATTCTACACACCCTGTTATTGCTACATGTGCGAGTACATACATAAAATGCATGCACATACTTTTTCCCATTGGCAATTATTTAATAGTTGTTTCTTTTGTTTTAATAAAACAGTGGGATCGACATTTTAAAAATTAAATTCAATTACAAACAGTTTATTCTGACAGCAAATTGTAACGTTACCTTAAATGGCCACAAATATGCTCACAATATTCCAAGGAAAGTGACTTTAAAAAGAGAGACAAAAATCTTCTGCAAGTACTTAGTATCTCACATGTGTATCCCCCAAAAAAGTATTTTAACTGGTATTCAGTTCTGCTCCAGGGATATCCACAGAATACAAGATTATGCACCTGGCTCAGGTTTTTGCATTTTCCACCACAAAACTGCAACAAAATTCCCTCCCCCAAAAAAGAAATCATTAAAAAAAAAATCCAACAACTTTTTCTTATTGTTTATAAAAAAAAAAATCAATACAGGATAGTTATAATTTCTCCTCAAACAAATCTTGTTGGTGGTTTTTTTTTCTTCTCTTATAAAGTCTTAAACTTGTTCCAAGTTTAGAGGTGTCTCATCATCATCATCATCCTCCTCATCATCATCATCACCATTGACTCCCCCGTGGAGTCACATTGATAATAATAGGTTTCCCTGAAAGATACATTGTAATCCATTCACATCCGGGCACTGCGGGCTTATAAAGAGAAGGCGCTGTGGCCGCCGCTGCTCCTCCAGACAATGACTAGGGAGGGGCGGGGCGGGAGCGGGCGACCATCGAGTGGTAAACAGAGCGCCTAGAGAGGCACCCAAGATGGCGGCGCGTGCGGGCCACGCCTCCTCCGCGACCTACGGCGGTGGCGGGGTTCCCGCGGCTGTCGCGAGTGGGACCGATCTGTAAGGGCTCCCGAGGCTGGGGCCGTTAGCCGATACCGTGTTCCTGCGCGCTTCTTTTTGTTCCCGTTCCTTGGCCTTCCCTGTTCTACAATTGTAGTTCCTAAATTAATTAAGGAATTAAATTCCACAAACTTCCATAAGGGAGTCAGATCCGTGGCTCATCCTGAGGGAGGCTCGGGAGAGGCCGCGCCGGCCTCACTAACGGAAAGCCTGAGTCTGGGTTCTCTCGCTGTGTGGAACTCCTTCTCTAAGCGAGGTTTGGGCAGTGTGGAAGAAGTCCCCTGAGCCAAGTTGTAGCTCCTGAGCTTGAAGAGGGATGTAGGTCCTCTACTCCTTGTCCACTACCCACACACTATCTTTTTCTAGACCCCTGGAAAAGAGAACTTTGCGGCTCTGAAAAGTCTCCACTTGGAAAAGACTTCCATTTGTTGCTTCGTAGACTCAAATCGAGTTTGTAGCATGTACCAGTACTGAATCAACTCCTAGTTCTGCCCAAGCAATTACCTTCTCTAGTTTGCGAATGCAAATAACAATGTCCACTTTTAAGAACTTCATAAGAATTAAAGAAATAAAGATTTAAGTGGAGCCACCACTAAAATCTTTCCACCTATAATTCCTCGTTAAACCAATTAATAGCTCTAATCTAGCCGACAGGATTTTAAGTGGAGATTTTTCTAGTCCTCCTACCAGACAGAAGTGAGTAATAATAATGACAGGTAACATTTATACATGGGTTTACAATGTACCAGACACTGTTCTGATAATTTCACAAATATTGGCTGCTTGAATCCAAAAAGTGAATCTCTGGAGTATATGTTACTACTATATCTTACATATAGAAAGCCAGAAGCAAGCTATCGTAGACCTTGCAAACGAATATACCTGCCAAGAAGGACTCCTTCTGGTTAATTGGGCCCCAAATCATAACCAGAGTGTAACAGCTGTTGCAGACAAGCCTCTCAAGCACTCTGAACTTCAGGGAAAGTCATAGACTATGCTGCCAGCCTCCTACAACTGTGCCCCTTCCGTCTGAATCCGCCCTTATAAAGGAGTTCCTGGCACTATGTTTTGACCAATGGGCTGAGACTTGTCTCATCCAATCAGAACCCCATAGTTATATCTTCATTTGCATCCTTCCTGACCAATCATACCAGCTCCATAATGACAGTTTAGAATGTGCTATTCTGACCAATCAAGATAGTGCTATTTGGGCCAATCAGACTATGCAAATTTGGATTCATCATTTACATAAAAATAGGCCAATCAGAGACCAGGGCAGGTCCAACTTTCTCTATAAAAAATGGCCTCCCCTTTGTATCCTTGGAATACACTTTGGGTTTCTTTTAGAGACAGTGTTTCCCTGTTTTGCAAGCTGCTCATTTGAAAAAAGTTTCTCATCTTTCAGCACCCAAGACTGGGGACTCCTGTTGCCATTAGATTGGTGGTAGCAATCTTTTGTTTAAAGTTGAGCAGCTTGACCAGGGCAGTTTAACTTGACTAATTAAACAACTTTATTAAGTGATAGAGCCCACCTTTGAAGTTAGGCCTTCTATGATCAGTCAACATTCAATTACATTCCTATATTATCCAGCAGTGAGAACATCCTAATCTCCGTTTTCTGATGCAGTTTTGTGTCATTAATAGATAAGAGTTTAGATCAATTTTCAAGATCTTTTGTTTATATGTAAGTTTTTAGAGAATAAGAATTAGGGCATTTATAATTTGATTCCTGTCTTCTATCTTCATTCCATGTTCTCATCTTAAAATAATATTTAACATTTAGACATTGTTTTATGCTACATTATCACAAGCATTATCTCTGATTCTCAGAATAAGCCTCTACAGGCTCTATGGAGATGACGTAATAGAAAGATCACAGATTTTTGTTTAGGAGAAATATTCCATTGACTCTACCTCTAATCAGCTCTGTGACCTAAGGCTTGATGTCACTGTCTTTTACTGTAAAATGCAGAGGCTAGATTAGATAATCTCATAAGGCTCCTTCTAGTTTCTAGGTTTTAAAATTGTCAAGAAGTCAATGATTGGATTGGGTCTCTGACCTACATGCACACGATTGATGGCTAGTGCATTTTTTTTAAATTGCAGCCTACAGTCAGAAAATCGTACAAATACCCTTCTTATTTTAAATTAAAGAGTAAATTTGGTTTGTTTGATTTTTTTTTTCCCTGAACTATCAGAAGAATAGGTTTACTTATGAATATTGGAGGTACCTGACAAAAGAAGACTCAGTAGAATGCTGTGAAACTTAGATAAAAAGGAAAATATAGGAGATATGTTTTGGAGTGCCTGCTCCATCTATAGACTCCTTTCCCTGGGAATCTGACCATAAATACTGATTTAGAGGTAGAACTTGATGTGGGTATCACATGAGTCCTTCCTGCCCCAGCCTCTCCAATCCCAGCTGACTGGACCACACCAACTAAAAGTGAAAGAGATTGACAGTAGTCTATGGTGAATGATGGATTAGACATGTTGATGAGAGCCGGCCAGACCTGGTGCCAGAAAGTCAGGCCATGTGAGAGCCATGGTTATGGGTAAACAAGAACCATGAATAAGCAGAGGACATTGCTCTTTAGGTAAAACAGAAAGGTTTTGGAAGTTCCCAGAAAAGTAGACAATTTAGTACTAGGAAGAAATGCCTAGAGATACTTTTTCAATTATTATGAGGACCACCTTGCCTCCTGTCCATAAGAGAGCTGATTCCTGCAGTGCTCCCCTTCCCTAACTGAGTGAACCTGAGTACTTTTGTGATCCTAAAACTGAAGTGTTTTATTAGAAAATTGTGCCACATATATAGTCAGGACAGTATATACAAGTGTCATACCCTTTTCTGCTGTATTATGACCTTGAGCAAATTTCACATTTTGTGAGATGTAAAATAATTAACATGTCTTCAGTACTTTACATGGCTGGTTAAAATCGAATGAGATAGTGGACATGAAAAGGCTGTGAAAAATGACAAAGTCCTATCAAATGTAAGGTATAATTATTGTATAAACTGAGTTGATGCCTAAAGATAACAATTCTTTTATAGGAGTGGGAAGGAGTGGCAAATATTGAAACTCAATGAGTCACAGACATTGAAGGGTGCTTAGATGAAACTTCATTTTTGTTGAAGATGTCAAGGCTCACATGGAATGTCACATCCAAAGTCACATCACCAATGAGTTACAGAGCCAGAAGTATCTCTTCAGTAAATGAGTGCTAGTCCAGTAATGCCACACTATTCTTCTACAAATTTCATCCAGTTTGCTTGCCCATAATCCTGACCATGTTAAAATAAATAAGCAGACAAAACCACAAACCAAAAAATCAGATCTTTGATGATCTAATAAAATTCATCCAAAAATTCAGCAAATAATTTTTAAATGTCTACCTCGTAAAGGCAGCTATTCTCCCAAAACCTGAGGCAAAAATGTAGGCAAAAAACCAGAATGATATAAATGTCAAGGGCAGTCTTGATTGAATGGTGAAGTCACAGTGAAGAAGATACAGCTTTGGAAGATGTTTGGAAGAGAAAGGGCTACCTTAGCATGTTTTCAGGTTGATATATCAAAAGGCACAAACATCTAGGACCTCAAACTGAAGCCTCACATATACTGCAGCACTGAGCCAGAAAATCAGCTGAAAGGTCAGAATGGGAGGAATCCAGTCAGTGTGTGTGAAAGAAGTCCAGAGCTTCAACATTCAGAGTCCCACATACACCAGGTCCTTTGCATTGGCTGGTCCCATGATCCTTTCTCTGGCTATTCACACAGCTGGCTCCTGGTTATCCTTCTGGTCTCAGCTTAAATACTACCTCCTCCCAGAGACCTTCCTAATCATTCCGTCTAAAATAAGCACCCACTTTATTATTCTTTGCCTCATCATCAGCTTTATGTCCTTAGTGGCACGTTTTCCAATTAGGACCTTTTTGTTAATGGGTTTCCTCTATATTATCTGTCTTCCCCATCAGAGGGTAGACTTCATAATACAGGGACTACATGAATCTTTTTCACTCTCTGTACTTATACCTAATGCAGTGCCTGGCACTTATCAGATTTTCTAGACCATTTGTTAAATAAATAAAGAACTTGTCTTTATCCTCAAGATACACACTTCACACTGAAGAGTACAGCTTTTATAGATCAGTTTCTCTTAAGGTTCCATTTTAGCTTGGTTTCATTGTTGGTAAATAGTGCTGGTGAATATTCAGTTTGATTTGCAACAAGCTATTGGCTCCTTATCACCTGAATCCTAAATCCTAAAAATAGAACAAAGATAATTGTCTTAATTTACCAAACTGTGGGGACTGCTTATTTCACAACTGTAATAAAAGTCATTGTATTGCTTCACTATTACATAATTTTATGGATGAGGAAATTGTGGGTTGGGGTACAGCAAACATCTACTACATGGTGGAGCTGAGACTTAAACACAGGTAGATCATGCTGCTTCTTACAGCTTAGTGACATGTGCCATGGCTTTAGGTCACAGACAGCTGTGGAAAAGATCTGCATATGTTGAACTTTTAACCTTGCATCACACACGGGGAGGAGGAGACCACCTGGGAACAGACCAAGAGCTCTCTATACACAACGTCTTCGTTTCTTCTCTGGAACTCTCTTCCTGCTTTATTCTTCCAACTTATAAGCCCCTCAAAAATGACAACACCCTTAAAATACAACACAAACTATAACAGAGGAAAGAGTTTCATGATTAGAAGGAAACATTCTAGAAGGCTGGCAGTAAATCTTGTAAGTCTCTTTTAATTAACAAAACTGTGGACACTAAAATTGAAAGATTGTCAGTTT